TTAGCGCTTTAATCGAAAAGCTTAAACTTAGACTATCGTTCTATTAGTCGAATTCAATAATAAGGTGCAACATTTTCATACAAAATGGCACAGTATTCATTAAAACTTATACTCACAAGTACTGTTTCTTTAGTTTTTATATAAACACTAGTTTCACCTTTCCATCCGAGCGACTGCCACCATTTATTCTCGTATACGTCTGTAATGAAGTTTTAAAAACCTCTCGCCATTTTTGAACGAACAACCAACTTTATTAGTCAAAACTTACAGAATAACTTAAAAACATTTTTAAGTGCGCGCATCGTCTGCGGATATTCTTTGCGGATAATCGTCTGCGGTAATTTACATTTCTTAATGCGAATTATCTTAGTAGCGTAGCAACAAAAATACGTTACAGTACCTGTTGGTATTCGCCGGTGAAGTTTAATTACGGACCAACTCGGTTAGTTATTCCTGTACAGCTTCGGCTTAGTTTTAGTTAGTTAAAATTAGTTTAGTTTCTTATTTTAAGCCCGACTGGAGGCTTTCCTGTAAGCCCGAGAGAGGCGTACTATTATTATTTCTTTGAGTGAATAAAGGGTATTTTAACCCTCCTTTGGACTTATCTTCATAGTTACAAAAAGACCAGCGAATAGTAACTAGACTCTTGTCTAAAGTTCTAGTGCCCAAGGACATGTAAATTAACCAGAATATTACAACTGTTACAAGTGTCACTTGTTTCACAATGGCCAGAATAAGCCCACGACATTCATCGTGGTAAGGAGGCAAATGCGTTGACAAGATCTTTAAGCATCATATAGGTGACAGTTCAAAATTTACAATCAGTATAGAGAAATGAACTGGGTGTAAAACTCGACAATGAAGCCTCTGAGAATGGCATTAAATATATCACTTTTATCCCAAAAATCACAAAATGAAGATTTTTTTCTATACGTTAATTCTATTTTCTTATGTTTCACAAAGTATATCATGAAGCATACAAAAGTAATTTATGCCAGCAACGTAACAAATGAAAGTAGAGGGCCTCTACAGAATTAAAATAAGAAGCAGAAAGTAGAATTATTTTAAGAAGCATAATAAACATGTATCAGCTATAATTAAAAGGCTAGATTTTGAAAACTGTAAAACAGATTCCTTTTTAATTCAGAAAATTAACAGCCTCGAATCCCACGAAAGTTTCAACATTTGAATACACGGATGTGAATTTTTTTCTTCGTTCGAAGCCTAACCTAAAAATTCTAAAATATTTCAATTGAAAACTTTGGAAACTCTTGTTCCATTGACATTTGACAGAAACGCTCAGTAAAAAAGAGAATAATTGTTGCTAACTCAGGGGATGTGAATCACTTCACTTCGTTGAGTCCTTATTCTCTACAGTACACGTAGTTCTATCAAAATAATTTAGATTTATTTAATGTTCTTTTATCTCTTGAGATGATCCTTCATCCACTACATTTGCTTTAATATGAAATGTTTATGGGTAATGTGCAATATTTTTTTGTCAGGTTATATTGAGATGAACCTCAAGATTGAAGAATTTTAACTGCATACTTCGTTTACCAAATTAAATGTGTATCTTCTCTAGAAATGCAGATGGATTTTTGAAAACTGCATTCTTGGATATGTTTTTATCGAATGCAGATTTCAAAATTTTTGTTGCTTTAAAAAATTTTAATATTGCATAGAGGTTTTTTTTTTTTTTTGTTTTTTTTTTTTTTTCCACATCTTCTTATTCTTAAATGAAGGATTTGCGAAATTCAAGACTTAACAGACTCACGGATACTCAAGGACACTTGAAATACTGATTTGGAAAATTCCCCATGTATCCCACTTCTACACTTTAATTCTTGAAAGTTCACAATAAATTAATGGCGATGTTTTAAACATGTATATTCCAATATATTGTAGGAAATTCTGGTAACGGTGCGAGCACAACTGGGAGAGGGGGGTGAATATTTATTCCGCTCGCTAATGCAACTTCAAATCCTAGTTGCAGAAACTCGGAAACGCTTTAAATAACCCTTGAAATGGCCGTGTGGAGATAAACTATAAACTAGTTTAACGCTTGTTAGATATTGCTCCATTTTTATTTTTATACTTATGAGAAGCCTATAGCATGAGAGCAATTTATAGAATTTTGTAACAAAACAAAGAAATCCGCTTTATGAAAGACGGAAGATTATTCGGTAGTCTCAGTTTAAAATAATTGGAAGAGTAAAATACGCTTCTGGACGGAAACTAAATTATATTTTCCTTAATAAGAAAAGATATCCTTCTTCCAAAGCGATATTATTAAAATATCCAAATCGTTAGGAAGGCTTTTAAAAAAATAGCCTAGATTTCTTCTAGAAAAATATTTTATTGATCCTTAGCTTGTTTTAAATGTTTATGATCATACGCCATTTTTTTTTTTTTTTTTTTTTTTTTTTTTCTTTGTAGTGGTGACACTTTTAGTATGCGTAATCTCATTCACATTTTAGACAGAAAATTTTCAAAAGATCAATAATTTTCACTGTTAAATTTAAATTAATTACACCTCGTACTCATTGTAGTCATTATCAATCATGTAAGGTATTCAAAGCAGATTAATATGTATTAAAATCGTATTTATGTACCTGATTATTGCTCTTTATAAAGAAACAATACAACCCAGTTATTAAATTTGATTAGGTTGCGAATTTGAAATTACAAGTTACATTTGCTTTTATTACGTTATGAATTTCACACTCTAAATGCAATGCATATTTTGACCGTTTTCAGTTTCAGAGAAACGTGTTATTTCAATTTCATCTGTTTATCGACTGTATTTTTCATTTGTACTTACGTTGTCGATTCTACATTTTAAATAGTTGTAGAAACAGTCGACAGATGTCAGCACTGTATCAGTCTCAAACGGCGAAATAAACTCCTTCGGAAAGGAAATCTGGAATTAAATCTCAATTTTGGCTTAAACTTCATTTCATTTCATTTATTAATGCTAAAGGATTGCATAATATTCATAGTAAATTGCTATTCGATCATGTTAAGTGCACTGGATTTTTTTTATATCTTAGTTTCAAAGGCTTGTTGAAATATTTAAATCATTCTAATCTGTCACATTTCTTTAACATTTATCGTTAATGTTAATTAGCAAGTGATTCATAATATTGATTTCTTGCTTGAAATTCGATTTCTTTTCCAGATTTTAATTGTAAACTGAGAATTAATATACTTTATTAGGTTATCCATTTTATGTCGCTAAACTGTCGATATTTTTAAGTTTCCTTTGTACAGACATGGAATTTTTACTTCGTTTTGCAATTGAAATGAACTAGATATTTCATTATCAAATATAGAAATGAGGGTATGTTATCAACGTCTTTCTCCGAAAATCAATAACCGGTAATTTTTTGGTCGCAGCAGTTGCTTTCAACCCTTAATAGATGGCGCCACAACTTTATTACCATTTGCAACGTACAGATGTTCTCAACTGAGGACAGCTTTTGACCGGCTAATAAATAACAGCAGAAAAAAGATTAACCGACAATTTGCGGCATAACTACAGCCTTTCATTTTACAGCTGAAAATTATCTTCTAAACTGCAACAGTCAGAAATTTGACTATCATCAAGCTGCTGCTGAAACTGCACTTTTCGATTTGTTACCCTGCCTTTTTCATGCACGTTATTTGTTTTGTACGAACAGTTCTTCCATTAGCTTAAATTTTACAAAAAGGATGTAAAACTTCTTTTCTTATTTTTTCGACTCTTATTTGTCCACTCAAAGCTTTGATCCCTAGTTTCCAGCTCAGCAATAAGCTTATTTAGCATTGTAAACTTTTCAGGTAAACTCTTTGTGAATTTCTTAAGCAGTAGCAAAATTTTCGATACAATTCAAAATATTGTTTCCATAAATCACGTAACGAAAGAAGTCTGTCTAGTTGCTGCAGTAGCCTGGACAAATGTAAAATATAATTTGCTTTAAATACGATGTTGATCCATAGGCTTGATCTTCATCCATAGGCTGGTTCAATGGTGCTGTTTCTTAGAAGCAGAAAAACAACGTCCACATTAGGATTTAAATGCTAAATGCAAAAGATGGTGAGAGGCAAAACATTTTTTAAAAGAACAGGAAAACTTTCCTGCAATATATTCGTATTTGTGGAAGGAAACAATTTAAAAACAAGCCCGAGATCTTATCATATATGCTTTAGCATTGGAGCGAAAATATACTGGCAGGGTATGCTTATTAAATTTTTAGATGCTGTTGGGTTTTTCGAATGATAAGTCTGAAATGGCTTTAATGCAAAATCTGCGATATTACCAGCAAAACGTAAGAGCTAATCGATCCTGATAAGCTTTGAGCCTCAGCCATCCATTTTGTTTCTTTGTAAATGTAGGTTCTAGGCGTCAAATAGGTTGGTCAAATTTAAAAATTTGTTTTGGTTCGTAGTCAGCATCGATAATTTCTCTATCAATTTCTTCTGCCAGTTTACATGCTCCTCCTTCTGATTAGTTAATGTTTACAGGATATAAAATTTTGACTGTAATTGCCATTAGCATAATTTTTAAGTTTTGAATAAGTTACATATATTTATTTGAATGGATATTAGCCAATCAGTTTCATGAATAGGTCCAGTTCTAGACTAGAAGAGAAACACGCTAATGTGACCATCAAGATCGTAAAAACCACCTTGTATTTAGCGTAGGTATAATGAAACACTCAATCGATTTCGAGGGCAGCTAAAGGTCCCTCCTCATCAGGAGAAAGAAATACCTAGAAAGAAGAAAATAAAGGAGAAGGAGTCACAGAAACACGTGGTCCTTATCAGCACTGCACGTGGTTATAACTAGATTTTTTTATTATATATTCATTTTTAAAAATTTATATTTATGGATGTTTCTGAATGTATATTTCTAAGATAAATGATCTGATGTTCTTTTACTATAGGTAGTCATTTAGATTACATTTGTTACCTTTATTTATTTATTTATTTATTTATTTACTCTTATTTTTCCCAAGATCGAAGTTGCAGATTACTAATACAGAAATTCGTGAAGAAATCTTCAAATACAAAAGAAACTGATTGTTCTTCCAATCTGTTAGGCACTACAAAAGTAAGAATAATGTTATTATATAAGGTATATTTATTTTTTAATCTTAAATTACTGTCAAAATAACATGTTTTTATATCTTTAATTGTAATTAAATAATCTACTAAATATCTCAAACGTATGGCTACAGTTTTGGTAGAGGTCTGCTGTCCTGTGGCAGTAAGAAACTCATTCCTCGCCTGCGTTGCGCTTCTCCTTTATGCCGATATGCACTGTATCCTGCAGGTGTCGTACATCCTACACGCCCTCTCCATGACGCTGGCTAGGGGTTCCAGATTTTAAATGTTTTCCACAGGTTTGAAACAACGCTGCTGGTGATATTGTACACCTTCGCCCTTCTTCGACTTCCCAATGATATGGCCAGGCTTAAAACCATTTAAGTGATGTCGGAAATACATATTGAAACTTTGAGGATAGTCAATAAAATCTTTCCCGTAAAACTATCATTTGGTATAACAACTGACAGCTTGCATCAAATTCTTTAAACCTTTTATCATAGCTATCATATAACGAGTAAGTGAAGAAATGGAAATTTGCATAAGCATACATGTTCTTAATGTATCCTGCACTTAACCTACTTACACTTTTTGCTTTATTTCATTTTGTCTTTTCTATGAGTGATTAGTGTCGTCCGTCCTTAGCAACTATCCAGCACAGTATCTTATTTATAGAAAAATTTTTCTTAAATAATTGTAAAGTGTTATTTAAATAATTGTTTAATTCTGTTTCAGGAATCCAGAGGATGCACAACGAGGTGAACGCGGGTAATGCATTTCTGATGAGTGGTTTGTAAATAAACAGACCGTTACGTCTTATGAGAGAGTGTACCGGATATTTAAATCCAGAGCTAAATTGAAGTTCGTGTATAAATACCCTTATAATGCACAAATGATTCTGATGAAAAATTTAGTAGTGTAATTAAAGGCATTATTTTGTGTATAAGGCCTTTAGTACGTTTTCTTTCATCTAGAATTATCGTACGAATGTTGATGCACACTTTGTTTCACAATATCTAGGTTTTTGAATTACAAGTGCGTACAAAGGAAACTCCACCACTGGCGTGTAGTAAAGTAACATGAATTGAATTTACACTTTTTGGCATAAATAAACTAGCTCAAAACTTTAATGTTGCGTTTTAATGCCGGTTAAAAAAAGGCTAAAGCCGGAATATTTCCAGACTGAGCTGAGCAGAAATAATAAACCTGCAAACGCTGTTGCCAAAATGGTCTAAATCAGTGATTCTCAACCGCTGGGGCGCGCGCCCTTCGGATGGGGTTTGATAACATAAATGGGAAATCCAGCGTATTAGAAAAGAAAACATTGTTAAAAATGATTAATTTACTGAAAGGAAAGCAAAAAGAATCTAATACATTTGCTCTAATACAATACACTTATTAATATGACCGTATCAGTACTGGATAATGTATTTAATAATTAACTTATCAATACTAGATTAAAACCATGTTTAATAATTATTAGTAATTCTCTCGGGCCTGTCTTGTAGAGGGACTTTTTATAAACTGACACTCTGAATTATTTTTCTGTATTTAGCTGAGATCTATATTTTCTCTTCAGCTAGCTCAGAAAGCAGCTAGCTCAGAAAATCCGGTTTTGCAAAAGTAGAATGTTAAAAATGGTAATAGTATAGGAAATGCTACTGTTTTCAGTGTAGAAAGTATATTATCCACCCCGGCCTAAAATTCAAAGAGGAATTTATTTCTAAATTGTCTTTTGATTTCGTCACTTGCTGTAACCTCTACAAAAGCTTCTTCTTCGGCAGTTCGACCTTCAGGACTACTTTGAAATGGATCCCTAAACCACACGTAACATGCCACAAACTTGTATTCAGCAAAAAAATACTTTTTTTATAATTGTTTGCTAGCTCGGGTAAATGATTTTCAGTGGTTGCAAAAACAGCATTCCCATTTTTTCCTTCAGCATTTTAAATTTTAACGTATTATCCACATATGCAAATATCTGTAGCTTTTCATGCTTTACATTTCTGCTCCATAATTCCAGGTTCCTAAGAAAAGTATTATCTTTATCATTTGTGAGTATTTACTTTTTGGAGTTGAAGATTCAAGTTATTTAATTTCTCGAATATGTCGAACAAGTAGCCGTATATCATCACAAAGAATCTGTATCGAAACTTTCCGACTTCTGGTTGGCTCTTCTTAGTAAAAAAATTGCTATTCCATCTCTAAATTCGTATACATGTTGGAAAAATCTGCCATGATAGCATCTTGCCTCCCAATAAAATTGCAATGCTGAATGTACTGCATTAGTCTCTTTAAAAAGTGCAGAAAAGTTTCTTAATTTTAGAGGTATCATATTTATATAATTAGATCCGGTTACAATCGTCCTTAATACAAAATTCAGGGCAGGCCTCATTTATTTGAAAGTCAGAGCTTCTCTTTGTATCATGCAATGTGTCCAAACACACTGTCGAGATTTTTGCTTTACAAGTGCTAGCCTACTTTGGAATCTTCCAGATATAGTAGGAGCACCATTGGTGCATATTTCGAAGCACATTTTCTGCTCTGTGTTTGCCACGTTTATAGAATCATTTATGATAGCAAATAATCCGAAAAGCTCGATAGGTAACATTGTCATTTGATGTAGTTTGATGAAGAAGTTGTTTGGCAAAATCATCTCCAAACATAGTTTCTATAATTTCACTTGGATCTGGCAAAATAAGCTATGCTTCAATGATATCAGATTTTTATATCTGATATCATTATGATATCATATATTATCTGATATCGTATATTATATGAAACTTTGTGAGAGTTAAGTAAGGCCTTTTCCATTCACATACAAACTTATTTTTAAAAAACAAAGTGTGCTTTTCATATGTTTTAAATTTAAATTTGAAGAATTCTCAGAGTTTTTAATGTATTTACTATGAAGCGTTTTAAAATGTCTTTTAAATTTATTAGGTTTCATGCTGTCCGCTGGCAAAAGGTTTGAGCACAAGGGCATTTATTTTTCATTTACTTCACTACTGGTAAACCCAAACTTCAAGAATTCTTGAAAATATTTTTTTGATTTTATTTTCAGAGCCCCGCTCGTCTGTGCATTTGTTGATGCTTCACTATGGCCGAATACTCGCTTATGATCACTTAAAAATTTATCCATGATTCTGCAAAAATCCACTGTATTAGATATTTAATACCGTGAATTGCAATTAACATATAAATTCCAATATACACTAGAGATTCGATACCAGTAGAAGGATCGACTCGATTGAGACAGTTGGAATTTAATGAGGTGCAGCATTTATACACCTATGCGTCTACGCAGACGTTTTAGAATGTTGGAGATAAATCGAAACTTGTCCCGACGCCGCGATAATGTCTAATATGGTGGACGTAAGACAGAGAGGCATCGATTGAATGCAGTAGATCACTGTTGCCTAATATTAATAAATTAACTTATTCTTGGTTTTTTGTATTGTTTGTAATTGAGATCGTAGTATAGCTTTATCATCAAAACACTCAAAATACACTATTATTGTATGAGAGTATGGCGCGATGAAAATTGTGTTTGAAAACTGGGTTGCAACTGCTTGAAGGTTGAGAAACCCTGCTCGATATCTAAGCCCTCATTCAAAATCCTTGCATCAAATGCTGTTCAATCGAATGTGCATCTTGGTAAAGACTAATGAAAATAAAGGTATAGTAAATGTTCAATTAATAAAACTTACTAAATTGTAAAGATGTTCGATTAATAGTTTCTTAATTAATGCAGCTAAAGAAAATTTAGACCGTCAAGCTTCAGAAGTACCAACGTTAAAGGAAGTTATTATAATCGACGTGATAAATCATATAAGCGAAAGTACATTCATCAAGAAAATAACTGATACCTTTAAAATTTAATTTTGAGAGTTGAAACAACATTTGCAAAATGTGCAAAAGCAAGCTTTTAAATTCATGACGCAAACACTGAATTTAAATGTTTTACTAATTTCTAATTTTTATCTATTGCGTAATATTGCATGCGCTCTATATCACAATTCCAATGCAAGTATACTTTTACGATGCTCACAAAAAAAAATGAACAATGCAGTTTTTTTTTTTTTTTTTTTTTCAGTTTCCTTTTACAACAGAATTCGTATTGTCTATTAAACAAAGGATATATTAAAAAAAATCCTCAGCAACGTCACATTAATATAGTATCGTTAAAGCAGAGTTATAATTATTGTATTAAAAAAAAAGAAATTGATGCAATGCTTGTTTACAGCCCTAGTGTGTTTTATCCTAATATTTTCCTTTTACTAATTTATATTAAGTAAGATTTGCATTTATGGAACTATGGCAAAGTACACTAGGAATACCACCCTAAAAGAATTACTTTACAAATTATGAACTTGATAATAAACAAATTCCAAATTCGGGTTTCCAGATGCCCATATTCGGGTGGAGATGTATGTTGTTCAAAATTGGACGGCTCTAGGTACCGTTGTTTTATCACAATTCGAGAAACATAAATATATTTATGCAAATTCTTCGTTATTTAATTTCTTTAACGATAATACAGAGCTGTAATATTTGGTGATTCCCCATTTATAGTGAATCAACGCCAAATGCCAAAACGAAATTAATAGCCCTTTTGGTCAAATTGCTCCTTTAGGCTAAAAATACAATAATAAATAAAATATAAAAACACAATAATAAATTAAAATAATTACTCGAAATTATATGTATTAAAAATACTTACGGCGAGCTCTTTGAAGTGACCTATACTTTTTAATACTGGTATTTATCACCAAAACGTATATCCCAAAATTTTTTAATTTTCTGGGATCATGAATGTGACTTAAATTTTGGTACTTTATGCAGCCACGTTGTCTAGCATTATCTAGCATCTATATCAGTATATTTTGATCTATGTCTAGCATCTATATCAGTATATTTTGATACAATATCTAAATATGATTCAAACTATGCTAGACTAGCTACAATATTAGCTTAATTTCTAAAATTAGATATATTAAGTAGTTTGGAAAGCCTTCAGAACAACAATAATATTTAATAAAACAATAAATAATGATTAATTACAATTAAATTACATCTAAAGGAACAAATCATATATTAGTGTATTAAATTAATGAAAATGATAAATTTTGTGACAGCTTTGCGAATCAGTTATACTATGGTGGATACCAAATACTCAAAACAACAATAAACAAAATTATTTCAAGGAAAAAATGTTTCGAAGTAGTTTTACAAACAAACACTATCTCTTATGATGAAGTGGAAACTGGACAAAGAGCTAGGCACTGAAATTTTTGCTAGGTCACGTAAGTTCCTCACATTTACAGTACTGCTGCGGTTACAGTAAATTAATACTCACTTAACTAAATGACCCTTAAATAGGAATTCTAAATACCCATAACACTACGTGATGCTGAATTTTCTGAGATACTCAGTTCCTACATTAATTTTCGTGGTTGATTGTGATTTAGCTCCAACTTCTAGACACGTGCTTAGAAATCAGTTGCGAAAATACATAATCTCAGATACATAGTGCTGCCATCTACTAGACATTTGTGGAATTTTAACAAAAAAGTGCGCCGAAAGTTTCTACAATCCTGAAATTTCCTGAAATATTTATATAAGCTTAGTTCAGCGAGAAGCTAGTTCAAATAAATTTATAATAAACTTAATTAAGTATAAATTAAAAGTGAGTTACTTCATTATAAATTACAACAAAAATAATCATTAAATAATTTTCAGAACCATCAATCAAAGATTAGAATGACGAATGTATAATTTAAAATTAATAAAATAGACAGGCTTAATCTAGCGGTAATTTTAAATAAAACTATGTAGATTTGTGTATGCGACGATTAGAAATATATTCCTTTTTCTCAGTAGCATTTTTTTTTTTTCTTTTTTTTTTTTAAATTTTCCTCTCTATAAT